TTTTTAAAATGTCTTCAGCCAAGCAAGAGTGTGCAAATAGCGACCATGGCTGCAAACACATTTGCTACATAAAGGACGGACAACAACGATGCGCATGTCAGCAGGGATACAAGTTAATGGATGATCAAAAGACATGCGCAGGTGAGGACAACTCTTTAAAATAATCACGAGACGACTGAGACATTTTGAAAACTGACATGACAATTTTTCTCTAGATATTGACGAGTGCAGCACAAGAAAATATCGTTGTAATCAATACTGTCATAATACTGAGGGTAGCTACAATTGCTCGTGCAAGAAGGGGTTCAGGATGGATAACGATGGTGTCACGTGTGTTGGTGAGTGATCATGTGATGTGACTACGTCATTAGGGACCGATCCAGGAATCAAAATTAGGGTGGGCCGGAAGGAAGGGTGGGCCGGAAAACTTCAAGAGAAAACCTTCAAGACCCTTTGCAAATACAATTACTTTTAAAGAAAATACACCACTTAAGATGTGGCGGGGGGTGGGGGGGGGGGAGGGGAGGGGGGAGCGTCTCCCTTGGCCCCGTTGGACTACCCCTAAATCCTCCCCTTCGTCATTATTGTATTTTTGCTTAATTTTAATTTTAATCAGAAAAGTAAAAAAATAGATGAATCGTAAAATCATATCTTWATTGTTWCCTAGACGTGGACGAATGTATGRAYTTGACTTATCAATGTCMAGATCCTTCACTAATCTGTCTGAATACCGCTGGCTCGTACAAATGTGTCTGTGGGCCCGGGTTGTACTTGACGACAAACAACACGTGTAGAGGTATGGAAGAAAACTCGTGTAAACTAGGATAATARTTTGATCTGCGTCAATGTATGAAGCATAAATTATGAGAATGACATGAMTAACTTAAACACCATGTAATGGAAAAGGTGTGCTCGATCTGTGAATAAATGATGCACTGACTCGCCTGACCTCGAGCACCCTAGATGTTGTTTTTTAAACTATTGTTTTGGAAACGTGAAGAGGAAAGAAAGAAGAAACCTGTATAGGTATGGTTGAACAAAGGATAAGACGTGGCATAACTAGCTTGATTTGCCTTCTTACTCAGCCTTGGTATGGCTGTAAATATCTTGGGGGCAAAAGTCCCGCGGGCTTAACTTTGCCACAATTTTGATTTGACAAGGAATATTGGTGCTCTTTCATTGGCTGAGCGTTCAACTTCTAATCAAGCCGTGACCGTGCCGTGACCGTGCCGTGACCGTGCCGTGACCGTGCCGTGACCGTGCCGTGACCGTGCCGTGACCGTGCCGTGACCGTGCCGTGACCGTGGCGTGACCGTGGCGTGACCGTGCCGTGTGCCGTAGTTTCTAATATCCCTTTTACAACATGGGCTAGTAGTACGACTAACTTTTTTTGTATAATATATGTCAGAAATTCTACCTGGAGCTACAACCCCCTCGCCCGGACCCGCTCCAACACCAAAACCCCCAACTGTCAGCGAGAAGGACAATGCAGTTCAAATAACGGTGAAAGAGCTAAGCATCGCTGAAGTAAGTATATTTAACCTAAAAATTGTCGGTTGGTTTGAAGCTGTGCACCTCAGCTATGAAATTTTAGAAAGCCACACGACACCAACAGCACAGTATAGTAACAGTAGTAATAATAACAGTATAGAAAATACAGTTAAAACGAAAAGGGTTAAGGGTTAAGGGTTTCCGTGGTTATATGGGAACGAGGAGACTCAGTTTGATACTGCCATGGCTTATTAACCTATAATAGAATGGAACATCTTGTTTACATCGCTTGAACCACTATCGTTTTATTCTTCTTCGTCTAATTTTCCTTATTTTGTTGTTTTCCAGTGGAACGAACAGGTCGAAAACAAATTCAAGCGTTCGGTTGCTAAGGCTGTGACTTCATTCTGTGCTTCTAAAGATGAAGAATGTAAAGAAGACCGAAAACGCGAAAGGTACCCTCTTTTTACCTCTATGTATTAGTAGCTAGCCATTCTCGTTTAATATGAGAGATATTTCTACTTAAAAGGATGAGAAAGCTTCCTCCACATGCAAGGGAGAGAGGTTGCTAGGCAAAAACAAAGATATAATACTCAGTTCTTGAATGAGGTTTTCCCGGGGGATTATTTTTCAGACGAGCTTTAGACTACATTCTCTACACCGCTGACCAGGTCCATTTGCTGCCCGATTTTCCAAAGCAAATCAACCTTAGATCACGTGATCTTGCTGCTGTCATTGCTTTCTACGTGGAGTTTTCTCCTGAAGTCGTTTCTAAATCAGGAGATTCCATAGCGGGTGGAACACTGGTGGAAATCGTACAATCTGCTAAGGCGGACATCGAGAAATCTTTGAATAGAACCATTAGTAGCATTACTTTGAATAAGAAAGAAGAACCTTCGATCAAGAAAAAGCCAGAAAAGTTGAATATTTACGTTATTATCGGTGTGTCATTGGCTGGTGTGCTGTTTATTAGCATTGTTGGTGTACTTATCAGAAGGTAAGGAAACTTGTTGATTTAGTTTTAAAATTTTCGGTCTAAGTCTATCTGTTTCGTTCTGTCTGTTTTTTTTGTCTGTATGTCTGTCTACTTATCTATCTGTCTATATGTCTATCTGATTGTTTATCTCTGTCTGTATTTCTGTCTATTTATCTATCTGTCTGAAGTCTGTTTTTTTGTTTCTTTCTGTCTGTGTGTGTATGTGTCTGTTTCTTTCTTTCTGTCTGTGAGTATATCTGTCTGTGTGTTTCTCTGTGTGTGTGTGTGTCTGTCTGTCTCACAGCCGTTTGTCTGTCCTTTTGCCTATCTGTCTGTCCGTCCATCCGTCCGTGTATTCGTATCTCTAGAAATCAATATGCAAGTTTAGTGTAAAGTTATATGCTTCCTCACTATCGTCATATATAAAGTTTAATGTGTCTTATTGTTTTCCATCTTTCGTTACGATACACTTTTCATTTCATTTCTTCGTGCAGAGACATAAGTCGTAATGCAACTTTACGCATTAAAACAAACCAAGAAAAGGAAGAAAGGAGAACACGARCACGTAATGTCAACAACGCCTGCTATGACGACGGGATACCTGGGGMGTTCCGATTGGGTMCAGCCCAGTCYACAACCGACATACTCSAAGAGACTGGTAACGAACATGTCCAGACCGTGGAACTTGGCATTGACAACCTCGATGTTGATGTGAAGTAGRAAGTTACTAGGATATTTTGTGCTCATGATTATTCACGTAGCAAAGGGCTTTGCTTCCACCTATTCACCTTGAAATATGTATATATATWWTAACCAGTGATTTATGATATGTGATTGAATTGCCTATGTTATACATCACGATTACGAACGTAAACGCAATTCACTAGCAGACCATTCAATATTCATGCATGAATACCTTGAATACTAGACTTGAAGGTCTTTTCAGTCACTCTTTAGGAATGCATCAGGGTTTAGGTGCACTTTAAACTCGGCGACATTTACCGGCTTACTTCTTTTACTACCGTACCTCAGCATTACTCCTCATTCTTATACATGTTCACTCCATACGTGTAGACTTAGTGCTTTATTATCAGACAGGCTTAGCATTGTGCAAGCCGCAA